AAAAATTGTCTTTACTGGACTGGAGCGATAGTACAGTGGTTATGGCGTTTGCCTTGCATGTGGCCAACCGGGTTTGATTCCCAAAAACGGGAAAAAAATGTCTTTACTGGGTGTTGGGAGGATCTTCCCAGGATGGGAGAAGCATACTGAAAGTAGACTATAGACCAAATATGATTGCCACTCAATGCCTCTTTTGCAAACCACAGGACCCAAAAGGAGAGAGAGAGAACAAAAGGGAATGCCCTGCCACAGAGGCAGGGTGGGATGGAGGGGATGGGGTGTGGGAAGGATACTGGGATCCGTGGTGGTGGAAAATGGGCACTGGTGGAGGGATGGGTACTTAATCATTGTATAATTGAAACCCAAGCACAAAAATTTATAAGTCTACAACTGTACCTCTTGGTTTGTCACTAATAAAAATTTAAAAAATGTCTTTACTAATGTTAGTTTATATGACCTCTGTGATTTAGGGGTATAATTTGATGCCTCTTCAAAGTATCTGTTACTGCACTGTCTCCACCAATAAAGCAATAATGTCCCTTCATTTTAGTCAGCTGGGCCTCCTCATCTATTGATTCCCTCACCCCACAGCGGCAGGGTGGGATGGGGGGGGATGGGGAGTGGGAGGGATGCTAGGACCCGTGGTGCGGGAGGATGGGCACTGGTGGAGGGATGGGTACTTGATCACTGTATAACTGAAACCCAAGCACAAAAATTTATAAGTCTATAAGTGTGACAAAGTTCTTAGCTCTGAGTCTACAGGTTGGTTTCTGCTGGTTTTCTGTATTCCCATGCTTTGCTTCTCTGTTCTGCATGGGTGTAGTCAGCTAATAACTTGTTTTTCTCCTAAGATTTTATTAAACAAAATTGCCCTTCATGTTGTTGCAAAAGGCAAGATTTTATTTTTCCTTCTGACTGAGAAGGAACTTATCATGTATACATGCCACATTTACTTTTGAAAATCAATTTTATTCTCTCCTCCACTGCCTTCATTATTGTCGATAGTGTTGGCAATGACCAGGGGTTGCTAGCACTTCTGGCTATGGTGCTTCCACACTGTTACCTGTGACACTTGCTAGGGGTCACAAATCAAGTTTCAGTGCTTGCGCACTAAGCTGCAGTGCACAGAAAAGTTTTGAACTCCTTTGGTTGTGTTGTTTCCTAATATATCACACTTTTGAGGTCCATAATGTATAGTCGTGGTGCTTGTTGTGGGTTGCTGTGATGCTAAAGCACATGCTTCTCTGGGGTTATGCTTCTTGGACATGACACTATCAATTTTTAGTTGTGATGCTGACTAGGGTCGCACACCTTTTTGTGGTACAGCCAAAAATTGCTTGCAGTGCTGAGGATCAGACTGTAGAGCTGCCAGAATTTCCTGGGCTATCCGTGGTGTATATAGGATACCAGGGATTTGAACTCAAGACCATATACTTGCAAGTATTCTAAGTCTGACAATATTCCTCTGGGTCCTATACCACACTTTATTTTCTGGTATGTCTGTTGTTGGGCACTTTGGTTGTTTCCATATTTTGTCTATTGCAGATAGCACTGCAGTGACCATACTTTTTCTTTTTTTCTGGAAGCTAATGTGTTTTTCCCCCCATTTTTTTAAAAAAAATTGAATCACTGTAAAATAGACCCTTACAAAGCAGTTCATGATTAGGTTTCAGCCAATGTTCTAATACCCATCCCTCCACCAGTGTACATTTCCCAGCACCAGTATTCCCAGTTTCCCTCCCATCTCCCCCATCGAAATGCCCCCAGCCTGGCTCTATGCCAGGTACTCTCTCTCTCTCTCTCTCTCTCTCTCTCTCTCCCTCTTCCTTTTGGGTATTTGGTTTGCAATACAGATACTGAAAGGTTACCAGTAATATCCCTTTACCTACTTTTAACATTTGGTTCTTGTCCAACGTGATCATTTACAGCTAATATTGTCATACTGTTTCCTTCTCTATCTTACCTACCCTCTGCCCCACACACACTTGTGGTAGATTTCAACCACTGACCAGTCCTCCTAGCCCATTTTCTCTGGCTGTGGATATTAGTCTTCTAATATATATATATATATATATATATATATATATCACAAATAAATGCAGTCATTATATGTGAGTATATATATTTTCAAAGTAGTATATTTGTATTATTTGGATTGCTACTGAGGAGTGGAATTTCTGAGTTATACAACACATCCATTTTTAGCATTTTCAGAGACTACGCCAATTTATATTTCTACCGAAATGAATGAGGAATCCTTTTATCCCCAAACACCCCGACAACACATAATTATTTTTGATATAATTCTTCTATGTGTTAATTAGCATCTCATGTTTTGATTTGTCAAACCTTAATAATAAATGACAATTAGCCATTTTTATGGGCTGGTTGGCCATCTATGTGTATTCTTTGGTGAAATGACTATTCAGCATGTTCAACCATTTCACTGGTTTGTTTCCGTGTTGGTGAGCTTTGTTAATTACTTACATATCCAGTCATGTGTATTTTATGTATTCTGTACCATTCAGTAGGACATCCTTTCATTTTTGTGCTGTTTTCTTTAAATAAAGCAGACACTTTCTAGTCCGATCACATACTTTTAAAATTTTTCAATTTTGCTTCTCCTATCAGGCTGGTAGGGCATTTGCTTTGCACATGGCCGACCCGGGTTAGATTTCTTCGATCCTCTCTGAGAGCCCAGCAAGCTACCGAGAGTATCCCGCCCACACAGCAGAGCCTGGCAAGCTCCCTGTGGCGTATTCGATACGCCAAAAACAGTAACAACAAGTCTCACAATGGAGATGTTACTGGTGCACGCTCGAGCAAATTGATGAACAACAGGAGGACAGTGCTACAGTGCTTCTCCTGTCAAATCCCAGAAGACATCACAGGACCCAATATCATGGCATGCTTTTCCTGTTTTCTTCAATGTATTTTATGGCTTAGGGTAGAATGCCCTCAGCTAACGTGTGTATGGTGTAAGATAGTGATCCAGTTTCACTTGTTTTGTGTATGGCCATTTGATTTTCCCAGAGCCATTAAAATAATTTTTAAAGACAAATATAATTCCACCAGAATAAAGGGAGTGGGAGAAATACTTCCATTTTTATTAAAAAGTAACAAGATAGACACATAAAAATTGCCTTATCTGTAAAGGGAATTAACACAAAACCTATAGCAAACACAATAGTCAATTTTGAATGAGTAAAAGGTTTTCCTGAGATGAACACAAGAAAAGAATATCTTCCATAACTAGGTGATTTCCATTCAATATTGAATTGAAGATCCTAGCCAATGCAAGAAAAGGGTAAAAATACAAGAGACAAGAAAGAAGAAATGAAATTATCCTAATTTTTAGGTCACATTTTTATGAATGCAAATATTTTTAAATGCAACTATTAGAATATTTAAGTGAATTTAACAAGACTGCTAATAAAATGCCAACATAGGAGCTGAAAGATAGTACATGGTTAGGGTTCATGCCTAACATGCTCCTGACCAGGGTTCAATTTCTGGTATCACATGGTCCTCCAAGCATCACTGGGTGCCGCTCTGGAGGCCCCAGTGGACCAGGTGTCTCCAGCACCACAGGGCTGGAGCAACATCACATCCTCGGGCTTTACACTGAACTGACAGTTCAACTGGTTGACTGAGATCACTGGTGGGGTTCCTGGAACTCCTGAGAACTGCTTGAGAGCCCCTCCAATGTAAATATACAAATTTATATACATAACAATGATATATCAGCAACAACTATTAGAAAATGAATATTTAAGATGACGATGCTACTTACACTAGCATCCATAAATGTAAAAACACAACTAGGAATACTTTTAAGAAAATATGTGCCATTCCCCTGGAAAGAAAATTCTAAAAACATTACTGAAAGACTAAAAAAAAAACACAACAAAATAGCACATAGCAAACTGGAATACTAAATACTGCAAATGTATCAACTTCCCCCTGTTGATCAATGTCCTTTCAGCAATCTTTTTTTTTGGGGGGGGAATAACATTCTAAAATATACATAGAAATTCAAAGGAGCAAGAATATACCAGAAAATTCTGAAGTAAAAAAACCCCAAAATTTGAGGACTGATAATATCTGATTTCAAGCCTGAATATGAAGCTATATTAAAATACTTGAGACCGTGAAGTACTTGTTTCCAATCTGAAATCTTCTAATGGCAATAAGTTACAATCACATCTATTACACAAATGTGGGAACTCCAGGTATCTGGTGGGAAACTTTTTATGAGCACAATTATTAACAGCTGGTTTTCCATTAGAAATCAGCAAGTTATTTTTTCCTCCTTTTTCTCTTTTGGGGGGAAGGCATACCCAGCAATGCTTAAGGGTTACTCCTAGCTCTGAATTCAGGAATTTCTCCTGGTGACACTCGGGGGACCATATGATGTGCCAGGGATCAAACCTGGTTGTCTGCATGCAAGACAAATACCTACTCGCTGTAATATCACTCCAGTCTCTCTCTCTTTTTTTGTATTTGGACTACACCTGGTGGTGCTTCAAAAACCACCAGAGCTTACTCCTGGCTCTGCTCTTAGGGGTCATTCCTGGCAGGTTTAGGAGACCATATGAGGTTCTGGGGATAGAACCCAGGTTAGATGAATATAAGGCAAGCACTGTACCTGCTGTACTACCTTTCTACCCCCCTCCTTGTTTTTCTTTCAAAGGACTATTCTCTGGTAAGTGGTTCAGTATTTATGATCTATCAAAAACCAAAGGGTGGGGAAAAACAGTGATGAATTAAAACTTACTTTTCAGGAAGGACAACACTCATTTTCACAAATTTACAGGTGTTACTGGTGCAGGAATATCTTTATAGTAATTATCCTGGGAATGCAACATAAATTCCACTTCCTACCCAGAAATTACAGAAAGAGAGATTTTGGTGTATCTTTCTAAATCGAGCAGCTGTCTATTTCAACCAAGTGTTTTGGATTTGAAAGTTAACACAAATGATTAATTTCCAGACAGATCCCAGGATATCTGTCTCCTGCTCTTTCTAGCCTAATTCTGTGAAAAATAGAGGAGCTGCGTGGAAGAGTGGGGAGCGTGGAGGGTAGAAGGTCGGGGGGTTACAGCCCAGCTACAGGAGGTCTACACGTTGATAGTACAGGAGATAGGCTGTGCGGCCTGTAACAGGCTTCACCACCTGGCACTGGTTTACCACCTGGACCCTTTGGTCATCGATATGCAGCCAGTTGTTGAGGCCCATCTGGAAGATGTCAGTGGTGTAATGGATGCCGGTGGCACTGCTTCCGTGGTGGTATATGACTGCAAAGAGCTTGTAGGTTCGGTGGCTTTTAGAGTTCTTATGTTTAGCCCCTGGAGAAAGCAGTTCTTTGCTAATCTCCAAGTAAATGGGGTAGTAGATATTCTTGAGGATCTTCTGACACTCCCCAGTCTTCTTGTACACAAAGCGCTTCAGGTGTAACACCAGGACAGGTGGCAGCTTCTCCAGAGTCACTCTCCGGCTGATCTCCACCTCCTGTTTGGTTTTGGTGCTGTAGCCTTGGCTGTACTCCCTTGCCACCAGGCTTTCCAAGGCATCCTGGACAGTGTGGATCTTGTCAGACTGGATGTCCAGTTGCAGCGTGAAGAACAGCTGCAGTGTGGCCGAATCTTTGAAGCTCTGCTGGTAAACCACCGACCTGATGTGTCCCCCAAAAATGCTAGTGATTGGAGTTTGCACAAAGTCCATCAGCCACTTCACAGATCTCTTGTTTCTGGGGCCCACTTGTTCCCACTCATCATCACTTCCCTCATCCGGTACCTCTGGCCTTTCTTGGTTTACAGAGAGGCCTTTGGGTCCATTGGAAAGAATGAGTTTTTCACTATCTGGTGAGAGCAATTTCTTCAGGGCCAACATTTCTTCATGGAGTCCATTGAGGATGAAGTCCAAGCACTCCTCTGCATCTTCCTGCCGTCCCATTTTGGACGGGTTGGCCTTAATCACAGTGAAGAGGTGATAGATATAGGTGGGCTCAAAGGCAATACCGGGGTGGATTTCTCTTATGAACCTATTCCCGAGAGTTTCTCTGGACTTTGAAGGTATTGGCATACTTGTGAACTCATTCATCAGCTGGACAAAACCATCAATCATGGGTGTTGATGAGTAAGGCCGTTGAACTTTTGAGTAGAGAGGGATGAACTTCATTAGGTGGTACATAGGAGGGCAGGCAACTATTGCCTGCAGTGTGGCATTAATGTAACTCCAGTTTCCCTTATTTATTAACCCACGTGGCTGCAGGGACACAGGTGTGTGCACCAGGGTCACATTCTCCAGCAGCTCTGCAATCTCTAGAGCGACAGAATCCTCTGAGAGTGGAACCATCCCTTCCTTGACCTCCACCTGCTCTTTTGAGACCATGGAAGATGTGGCAGAAGAGGAGTGCTTAGAGGCCACAGGCAAGGAGGAAGAGGGCTTGGTATCATAAAAGAGACTGGCCCACAACTTAGTGGGCTGACTAAGAGGCACGGCGCCCATGGCAGGTTTCTGCACATCAGCAGAAATGGGGGTGCCCTTGGCACTTGCAAGGTCCAAGTCTATGCTCTTCACAGTGTGGAACTCCATGCTTTTGGCAGCTGAGCCTTCTCCCGAGGATTCACATATTTGTTCTTTATCAACTACAAGCTTTTCAGTAGTATCAGACTCAGCAGAAGGCTGAGCTCCAGTTGTTGACAGCAAATTATCCCTGTCCCTGCCTGCCTTTGCAGGGTGGCAACTTTGTTCAAAGTCAGTTCTGAGAACGCTCTTGGGTTGCCCTCCAGGCAAAGAACCACCAGGCACAGCATCGCTGATGAGGTCAGTGGATTCCTGAGGACTCCTACTAGTGCTGGGAGACAATGATGGAGGAAAGTCCTCTGCCACCTTGGCATCCTTAGGGCCTACACTGCACATAGCTGCTGGGTTGGCCGGTGCTTTGGAGGAAGTAGTGCCATCTCCATCATCTTTCATGGAACTGTAATAGCTAGGGGGGCGTTTCTTCTTCTTCCGCTTCTTCTGCCTTTCCCCAGTGCCCTTGTTCTCCAGACACTCAGTCTCTGCATTGGAGGGGCTTTCCACAGCCAGGGTGGCAATGGTCTCCTGGCAGTCTGTAGAGTTAGAGGTGACTTCTTTGTCCATGTTCTCAGGGGTTGTTCTGGAAGTTGTGCAACTCTGAATAAGCTCAGACTCCTGAGGAGTCAATGTGCTTGAAACACTGCAGTCAGGGGTTCTTGGCGGAGTGTCACTATGGTCTGTGACTTCATTAACACCAAACTCGGTTCTCTGGTCCTCCGGGTGCTCTGGTCCATCAGGCTCCACAGCCTGTGCATCACCCATGTACATCATATTTAATGGAGGAAGTTCAACTGAAGAAGAATGAGTCATGAAGAACTGATCATATTCATCAGGAGTAAAATCTCCAAAAATTAACTGTAGCTTGGGGAGGGCCATGGTCGCCCTTTTCAGTGAGCCCTGTTGCTCCTCTAGTTGCTCCTGCTGATTCTCCTGTTGCTTGCTCTTTGTCTCCTGCATCTCCACACTTGTCGAAACTGTGAAGTATTGACAAGGGTGCATGATTAAATCAATGGTCTAGGAATATATTATCATCAATACATGTATGAGTAATTGAAGTCCAACAAAAATCACAATAAAATTCACTGAAGCAATGTCAGTATTTTGGAATCCATGGTGCTAGAACAACTAAGTTTCTGCTTAAAAAATGATCTTTTATTTTGCTTTATGGGCTGCTGGGAATTGAACCCGGGTGAGCCGCGTGCAAGGCAAATGCCCTACCCGCTGTGCTATGGCTCCAGCCCCCAAAACAAAATGATCTTGATCATTTTCTCACATTATAAAAACAGAAGATTGTTACAGAAATGAGCAAAAGAAGGACAATACATATTAGTTCTTTAAAAAATGTTTTCTTTTCTTTTTAGAGGGGTTACAACTGGCAATGCACAGGGGTTACATCTGGCTCTGCACTCGGTTTCTTTGGCCCTCCAAATGATATATTTTAACTGAAACTTACTTAGATGTGAAAGGAGAGAAATGGGGGAAATGTGTTCAAGAGAGAACTAAGGCAGCAAAGCAACATAAAGACAAGCAAGTAAATTACATGTTCAAAGTAGAACATGGCCTTGATAAGCAGTTTTCAAATGATGTTTTAAATCCATTTAGAGTCTGACTGCTTTGTACCCCTTGAAAACAGTATCATCTTTTAGGGGTTGATAAACCCTTGAACTATACAGAATCCAAAGAAGCTATTGTTCTTAATTATCCTGTCCCCAAACTTTAATGTTGTGGGTCACAGTCAGCAGTGCTTAATGGTTACACATAGACCAGTGCTCAGGGATTACACCTGTGAGTGCTAGGGGGCATGAGCTCCTGGGGCCTTAACCCTGGCCTTCCACATGCAAAACATTAGCAATCAAGCTATTGCCTTTTTAGAACTTTTTTTTATGTTGGAGTACTGCTATTTATTCAGCCACTGATCAGCTGATTGAATTGTGTATGAACTCCACCTTACTTTTCTTTTTTCATTTTTTATAATTTTATTTATTGAATCACCATGAGAGTAGTTACAACGCTTTTGGGTTTAAGTCTCGGTCATACACTGAAACACCCATACCTTTACCAGTGCCCATTCTCCACCCCCAACAACCCCAGTATACCCCATCCCACACCCTCCCCCTACCTGTGGGGCAGATGATTTCCACATTACTCTCTCTCTACTTTGATCACATTCAACACTTTGACACCAGACACACCATTATTATTTGAGATTTTACCCCAACACTTAGATCTGCTGAAAAGGCAACAGTAGACAATCTGTTTTCTATTCCTGGTTATGAATAACATATGATGTCGCATGGCTGCAGTAGTGGCCGTGCAATTTTGAAATTCCAAAATTTTAACACCTAAATCTGGAGGGATTTCTGCCAAAATTTGCTGGTTTCCGAGATCTGCTCCTGGGTCTCTGGAATCATGGCCGTTAAGCAGCTTGATCAGGAGCCAGAGAGGGTGTTCGTGGGCAATGACTTGGGGTCTCGTTGGGGTGGGGAGGACAGGACTGGCTCCACCCCCATCCCATGAGGCCCTGCGTGTCTTGTCACTGCAGGCCCAGACCTGACTGTCCAATGGCCTCTGGAGGATGGCGGCCACCAAGTCACCAGGGGGAACAGGCCAAGGCACGAAACCTATTCCCACCTGGGTTGGCCCAGCACCTGTAACCTACTGCAGGGAATGGATGCATTCCTGCCAAAAGTCACTGGGTTTCGAGATTTATTTCTGCGTCTCTGGGATCATGGCCGTTAAGCAGTTCAATCAGGAACCAGAGAGGTCATGCCTCCAATTATATAGCTGAGCCGGAGGTGGTTTGTGGGTGTGTTTCCCACATACCTTTTGGCTGTTTACTTTTTTGGTAAAGTTTGCCCCAACTTTTTGGGGTCTGGCCAAAGGCACAGCAGCAATTTTGGGGTATCTGGAAGTCGCCTTTTCAGAAATTTTTGACACAGAACCTTCATCTCACTGCTGTGGAACATCATCTAAGCAATTTACATGATTTTAATCCACCTCTTCACTAGGAATTCAATGGCTTCTTCCTTTCAGAAGGTAAACTGTGCCACTTGTTTTGGAGATCTCCTGGTGTGAAGTAAATCCATCTTATGCAACCAGACACAACTCAGTACTTATTGCCCCTGAAAAACTTATTATATAGTAATGATATCTTATGATCTATAATTTTTGATCAGCTCCTAAATCTTCAGACTCTACATGGGGTAAAAAAAGATGGAACTTGGTGAAAGATAAAAAAAATGAAATTGACATGTTTCACCAGTCAGTATGACATTCACGACAAACAGATACTAACTGATCTAAAGTGGTTAAGATTCAAATCTGGAATCTGCCTGTGTTGGTTAAGCATAGCATTCCTCTTTAGAGTTTCTCTATATCAGGACTTATTAAACTTTTCCAACTCATGACCCCTTTTAACTACCCTGAGAAACTTTATGCAACTCTAGGTATAAGTGTATAAAATAGGTATGTAAATAAAATATTTACTAATATAAAGAAATTTAGGGGCTGGAACAACAGTAGTATGGGTAGGGTGTTTGCCTTGCACGCGGCTTACCTAGACTCCATCCCCAGCATCCTATATGGTCCCCAAACACTGCCAAGTGTGATTCCTGAGTACAGACTAGGAGCAACACCTGAGCACTGCCCAATGTGGCTCCAAAACAACAAAAGAGGAATTAATTGTGAGGACGGCATAACCGGCAGTGCCTAGAGGCTTTTCCTGGCTCAGTGCTTGGAGGACCATGTGGTGCCAGAGATGGAACCTAGATCTCCTTCTTACAAAATATGAGGTCCAACTAGTAAAAGATTGGTGTTAGAACACTGTACATCTGAAACTCTGACATAAATATGTATGTAACTGTATAATTTACCGTGATTCAATTAAAAAAGAAAAAAACCATGAGGCCCAGTCCACTGAGCTATCTCTCTGGCCTCAAGAAACTTATTTTTTTAAATTTAAATTATAAAACTCCTGATACGTTTCAACACATAATTAAAGAAGATATGTCCTCTATTCCTTGTGGTCTCTCCTCTCTGCTCCATAGTCTTCCCAGACAGTAATATTAGTATTTGAGTGATTAGAACTGATTTTGTAATCAAAGGTATTGAGGTGTCCTGGGATGAAGGTCAACTCCTCACCTTTGCCTCTGACCCTAACCACATTCTAGACACTGTAAGAACTGGGGGATTACAAATAAAAAGGGGGAAGACTGTTCACCTCTCGGCTAAATGTGGGCTACCATTGCTCCCATAACAGACAATTAAAGGAGGATGCTCTTGTTACTGGGCTTATGATTTGGTTTATTTTGAGACTCAAGTATGGGCTTGCCCCTGAAGACCTCTATGGGATGAAGACAAAGTACAGGAGGCAAAGTTATTAGGACAAAGCCAGATGCTAAAGTGCAGCTGGGGGGCAGGGAGCATATATGCAACCAGCTAGTGAGCTTCAGATGTTATGACATTTAATTTGTTGTGAATGCCATCATTGTAATTCTTCTCTGGACAGACACTGAAGACAAAACCCAGGACTTAGACAGCAAAGGGGTTACTTAAAATCACAAAGGCAGTATGATATTCCTATCATCAAGGATCTGTGAAGGAGGTTTCTGTACTGCCAAAGAGGAGCATCCAGTTATGAAAGGCATTCTGGGCCTTGCTTCCTCTAGGCAGCTTCACCCCAGGACACTATCTGGGTAGTAGATAAAATTCCCCAGGGGTATCAGTGGATTGGGTGGGGTGGAGAGAAACTTGGGAAGGCACATTAGTTCCACATTTAGATGAAAGTTCTAAAAGTTTTTTTTCTTTTTTTTTTTCTTTTTGGGTCACAACCTGGCAATGCACAGGGGTAACTCCTGTCTCATGCACTCAGGAATTACTCCTGACGGTGCTTGGGGGACCATATGGGATGCTGGGAATTGAATTTGGGTCAGTCATGTGCAAGGCAAGCACCCTACCCTCTGTGCTATCTTGCTCCAGCCCCCCTTTTTTTCATTCTTGACTCATTTTTGCTTGAGAAATACAATAAAGGCGAGCACTGCCTGAAGCTCTTTATATTCATTATGCAGTTGGTTTCAGACTTTTTGGCCATCAAGTATTCAGAAATCTGTTAGTATTGCCAATTAGTCTTGTACCAGTCTCATTCAGTTACATGACCCCATATAGGGTTCACTTAATCACTTAATCACTTAATCCCCGTTATTCATTGATTTACTCGAGCGGGTGCCAGTAATGTCTCCATTCATCCCGGTTGCGTGCTAGCGTAGCCCAATGGTATCTGTTCGTTCTAGGAACATGCAGAGCCTCAAACCGATCATTCAGGGTCTTGACGAAGAAGTCTGACCATCTTGTAGGTGGGCGTCCACATGATCTTTTGATGTCCCGTGGAATCCAATCAGTAATGGCTCTAGTCCAGCGGTTGTCTGTAAACCTCATTATGTGTCCAGCCCATCTGATTTTTGATGTCCTGGCAAATGAGACAGCGTCCCTGATTCTTGAGCGTTGACGAAGATCAGAACTCCGGATTCTATCTCTCATTTGAGTGAATCGTGATATTCCAAGCATAGTTCTTTCGATTCCTCTTTGAGAGACCTGAGTAGCGTTCTCATCCTGTTTTCATAGGGTCCAGGTCTCTGAGGCATATGTTAATGCAGGAAGAACAGTGGAATCAAAGAGATGTGCTCGTAGCTGGAGGTTCTTTGTTCTTTTAGTTATTTCTTCAACGTTCTTGAAGGCATTCCATGCCGCACTCTTCCTCCTGCGCAACTCAGGTGCCAGGTCATTCATCATGTTGATTTCTCGACCTAGGTATATATAACTGTTGCATTCGGAGATGGTGGTTCCGTTGAGAGCGAATGGAGCGTCAGGAACAAGGCTCT